CCGTCGTGACCCCGGGGTCCCCTTGCACCCCCTCCGCACACCCTAGCCCTCCCCTCGCACCCCCTTCCCCGTTACCCCCTTAGGACTCCCCCTTCCTCATGCCCCCAGGCCCCACGGGCTGTGCAGGCCCCTTCCTCCTCCCTGCAGCTCCTTCCCCATTCCAGCAGCCCCTCTTTTCCCTGGAGATGCTCCCCTGCAGCCCCTCTCCTCGCTCCCACCCCGCCCCATGCTGGTGGGGGTCAGTGGGTCGGTGTCACGGGTGGGTCGGTGTGGGGCTGTGTGATTTTCCACCCGAGGTTTCCGTGTGCACAGGGCTGTCCCGGTGGTCCCTGATCCTTTGGGATGAGGTGGACCCTTTCCTGCAGTGCCGGGTTTAGGAGAATCGCAGGGAGGAGTGTGGAGGCATGAGGGGTCTTTTGCAGGCCGGGGGGTACAGACGGAGCCGCTGTGGGAGCGCAGGGTTTGGGAGGAGAGCGGACAACCCGGCTGTGGAATCGGGAGAGGTGAGCTGTGGTCTGGAGACTGGGCCAAGGAGGGCTGCGAAGGCTTGGAGGAGGATTTTGGTTTGGGTCCTGGGATGTGGGGGACTGGAGAGGAGGATGGGGCTGCTGGTCTCAGGAGTCACGAATTCTTGCTCGCAGGGAAGCGTCTCGTGCTAGCGGGGTGTTTGGTTCGGCTAGTGAAGGCTCGGAACGGGCAGACAGCCGTCGGAAAGGTGCGTGTCACAAGCACGAGACTGGAGTCTTGAGAGTCTCCGTGTCTGCGTGAAAGGGCTGCCACTGAAATAGTCAACAGCGAGGAGCAGCGGGTAGCGCCGAGGGAGTGTTCTGGGATCTCACAGTGTTGGTTTTTTTTTCTCATTTGTTCAGTTCTGACCATAATAACTGTGCAGGACAGACGACAGCGCTCCAGGCGAACCCCCTTGCAGGTTAGACAGGCGCAGGTGGAGGGAGCACCAGAGGGAGAGAGAAATAAAGAAGAAAGAGAGGGCAAAGGTGACATGTTTCCTACAAGATTTGGTTTGGTTTACTGAGGGAATCGACAGGGTGGGAGTGAGAGAGCAGAGACACGAGAGGACAAAGCCCCCGGTGACCAGATTAGACGAAGTGGAGAGGGATGGAGGGATCTGTGGCTAAATTATTGACCAAAGCCTGTAAGGGCAGCGGGGAGTAAATCCGTAGGCAGTCTAGACAAACAAATAGGATGGCTTGAGCAGGATGCGGTGATGAACAGGGAGCGTGTGGCGTTCTTACCATTAGGGGTGCTGGGTATGTGCAGGAGGGCAGTTGTGCCCAGGCTCCTTCAGCTTGCTTGAAAGCAAGCATTCCTCTTCTGGGGGGCTTTGCAGGGTTGGAAAGTGGTAGGGAATTCTTCAGGAGCCAAAGCTAAAGCATGGGTTTGCAGTGGAAGGTGATTTGGCTTCTGTGTTGATGTAAAAAGCGAAGTGGGACCCCTTGGTCAGCTCACTCTGGCTCTTCCTCTTCCCTCCGCACCGCTCTGGGCCGCGAGGGAGCCCGAGGGCAGCCGTGCAACGTGGTTTTGTACGGGGATGCAACTCCTTGTTTAATTTGGAGCGACTGGTGAGGCAGATTCTGGCGCGGCAGAGTGTGAGGTTTCCAGTAGCCTTTTCATTTTACGTACTGCTGTAGTGCCAGGCTGGTTATCCGTACGGCTGTGAGCTCTCACACCTCAGATGGAGAGATCGTTAGCTGTTCTCGCCCAATAAACCATGGCATCCTCTCGTGTTACCTGTTGCTGTATCCCCTGCCCTAGAGTGGGTGTGGAGTCTGTTAAGTTCATATCAGAGAGAGCAGTAGTTCTCACTACTGCGTGCAACTCCTGCCTCCTTGATACCTGCCCTTGCTGACTGTTGTCAGCCAGTGGAGTTTTTGTTTCCTGGCATTTGATACTTTTCATAGTCCAAAGTACTACAAAGCTGTGGAGCTCGCTTGCTTTCAAGGCTGCTGGTTCTCTGACCCTTAAGGACCTTCCATTGAGTGAAGGTATCTCCACATTCCTGAGCAGCAGAAGCATGTGATTCCTTGTATCCTCACTGCTCTCAGCCATCCAGTATTACTGTTGTGTTGTATTTGCACTACAGTAGCTCTGATAAACCCCAGATTTAAACCCCAGGATTCCAAAGCCAAGAAGTAAAATGTATCTTATTATTAGGTTTTTTAAGCTGTGGACTGTATTTTTTTCCAGAAATTACAGGAGTGATCTGTGCAGAATAGTTTTCCATATTCATAAATGCAGGTAGCAAATAAAAAAATGCACCTGCCTTGTAATATTTGAAGGGAACTTCAGCCTTTTAATCTTCTGCTTTTTAATCTTCTGTTTTTTTAATTTGTTTAATTATATTCTCCTTGTCAGGTGGAAGATGGGACCGTTTCCCTTGTGTTTTAGGTGACTCTGGAACCTGGTTACCATGAAGTCCCGAAGGAGATAGAGGGACAGTAGTGGGAATTTCTTCTCACTCCTCCGAAAAAAAAATCCAACAATTGCCTAATGGTAAGAAAGCTGTTATTTTTAATTATTGTACAGCGTCTGTGAATCGCAGAGCATGTTGAAGTTTGAAATCCAAACCCACTGGGGCCCGTGATCGAGGAGGATGCAGGCTGTAAATGCTGCGTGTTTGGAGGAATTGATTCAAAATGTGATTGTCCTCTGTTTTGTGTCCTCTCCCCAGGGATCACCTCTTACGCTGACGTCATGGGGAGCTGCTGCAGTTGTCTGTGCAGAGACAGCATCCCAGACAACCATCCCACCAAATTTAAGGTAAGTATTGCACCTTCCCCCTCGTCGGAGAGTCTGTGACAGTACCAACTACAAGCAGAGCCCAGCATGGGTTTGGATTCCCAGCATGAAAGGAAGGAAAACCTCTGCTCTTGCACAGAAAGTCTTTCACTTGATAAAGTTTGCACATATGTTACTGTTTTGCTTTGGGTGTTTTCTTTTTTTCCTTTCCTTAAGCAACCTCTGCTGCAAATATGTTTGTATTCGCAGTAGAAATTGCCTCTGCACTGAGATTCAGCCTGAGTGAGGAAATGGGGAACTGGAGAGAAACCTTTTATTGCTCAGGGCTGTGTTCCAGCCTCTGTGCTGAGACACATCAGCTCAACTGCCAAGCACAGAGTCTCCAGGGCTGCCGGCTCAGCGCCTTCTGCCAGGAGTGAATCCGTGCTCCAGCTGAGCAAAAGGCATCTCAGTAAATGAAGGGGGAATCCATGGGAATTACAGTGTCTTCATGGGTGAGTTCTTTTTGATCTCAATCCACCGATTTTCCTGCCGGGAGTTCTGTGTTGTCTACAGGTAACGAACGTGGACGATGAAGGTAACGAGCTGGGATCTGGGATTATGGAGCTGACGCAGACGGAGCTCATCCTGCACACTCACAAGCGAGATGCCGTCAGGTGGCCCTACCTCTGCCTGCGCCGCTACGGCTACGACTCCCACCTCTTCTCCTTTGAGAGCGGCCGTCGCTGCCAGACGGGGCAGGGTGAGTGCCCAGGTTCCTGGAGGAAGGAATGCTGAGGTTTCTGTTCCCGGGCAGCCAGAGTGAGCTGATGCTTGTGTCTTCCCAAATTCCTGCCTCTAATGAATCAACAGGTTCTTGTGCAGTCTCTGTTCTCCCAGGGTACTGGAGTGTGCATGCCCAGACGGTTAATACTGCTGATTAAAACACTAGTGAGAGCGACATCGTGGCTCAGGACTGGCCGTAGATGTAATGGTCTCATTTTGCTGGTGCGTCAGCGCTCATGAGGTGGTCGGTGAAGCAGGCTCGAGGGTTGGATGGGGCCTGTTTGACGTCAGCGAGGGCGTTAGTTACACCGTCAGCTCCGAGCTGCGGCACCAAATGCACAGCTAGGGTAGGAGGGGTGCTGGACCTCGTTCCTTAGGAGCTAGGAAGTACGTTTTGCAAGACTGAAGCTTTGTTAAGCATCTTTTAACTCCATGGATAAAGCAAAAGGGCGTCATCTGCACCTTTGGCCCTCTTAGGGCTTGCTTGCTGCCAAACCCACGCCAGCAGCAATAGTTGCTTGAGCACGTTTTGTCTTTCTCGGTGCATTCTCTTGGCCTTTGGTTAGTGCAAGTTCTACTTTAATGCTTTGCATTTTGTGTCTGGCAGCGCTTTGTACCGTAGAGGGGAGGGAGTTTTACGTTTTACTGATTTTATGCACGGGGATGCTCTGCAGAGAGAAGGGAAGTGAGTCACCCAGGAGTACATGCCAAGTCATCAGCAGCGCCGGGAATAGACTCCAGTTTTACAATGGTGCCTGGTAGCTCCTTTACCAGTCTGTCTCTCTTGCTTTTAAAGAGCTGAACGTTTTCTTGGCATCTGCATCCCCAAGGAAAAAAAAAAAAAAAACAACAGAAGTTTGATTCTTCATTCCATTAATGTGTTTGTAAACTCCTCCTTATCCAAAAAGGCTCCACGTGACTGTTCGGTGTCTGCATCGAGCACAAATCACTGCTGCCCTATGCTCCTTTTTAATATTTATGTAAATGGTGTCTTCCTCTCCCGGGATCACGTGCTTACCCGGTACCAGCGATGGGAATTCTCTTCAGTTTCTGTTTTGCCTTCTGCAGGATGCAGATCAGTGATTAAAATCCTGCCCTCTCTCTGTGTTTCGGGTTAATTTAGGTCCAGGTGGTGGTGGTAGAGCAGAGCTGTTACTCGTCAGTCTTAAAGCAGACAGAAATAAGGGGGATGACGTTGTGTTTTGATGAGTTTTCTACCTTTCTTTTATGATTTTATTCCGCGTGGTTAATTTAACTTGGAGAACTCCTTCCTGATGCTGCTCCCCACCTTATAGAAGGCAGATACAGCTATTTTTTCATTCCCAGAATTTTAGAAACCTTCTTCTTTGGGGTGGCAGCCGTTGTTGCCATGCCGTTCTCGTTGCTATGGCTTTTGTGCGTGTGTGTGCGTGCCAGCTTGGGATTGGTTAGCTCTGCACACACCGGCTCTGGTCTGAGCTGCTCGTCTGGGGAGACACTGTTTAATTCCACACGTTCTTAAAATATGACGTTCTTGCCCCTCCCTCACGCGCACACCCCGCAGGGCCCAGTTCAGCTTCGAGAAGCCGGTGGATAGGCTTTCCCCTGGCAGCGGGAATTGGACTGGGTGCCACGTGAGTTGAAATAGAAGATTAGAGGTGAAACGAGACCGGTGAGCCTGTCCCTTTCCCACCTCTGCTCCTCTGGGATCAATGGCTGTACGTAACTGGGGTGCTCGCTCTTTCCCGTGCAGCATTTGGGCAGTTGGCCGTCGTGGCGTTGTATTTCTGCCGATGCAACAATCCACCCAGTTGTTGGTTGTTTTCCTGTGGCTGAAGAAATCGGAATTGCCTGTTCGTTTAGAGCCAGGAATTACACATCCTCTCGTTAAAGCAGGATCGCTTTCCCGCTCTTCTGACCCTCCTCTTTGTTACTGTGCAGGGATTTTTGCCTTCAAGTGTTCCAGAGCAGAGGAGATCTTTAACCTGCTTCAGGACCTGATGCAGTGTAACAGTATCAACGTAGTGGAAGAGCCTGTTGTCATCACCAGGAACAGTCACCCGGCCGAGCGGGAGCTCTCCCGCACCCCCCAGGCACCCAACAGTAAGGCTCGTTCGGTGTGAGGGGAGAAGGGGCACACAGACACCGTGGATGCAATCGCTCGTGTGAAACCCCCCTTTGCAGCCCGTGGGGCTCTCCCACGTGCTGCCTCACTGCGGACCCGTATCTGACCCCGTGCAGGATGATTAAGGCCCCACTTGTCTTCCGTGTGGTACTTTGTTTCCAAGGAAACAGCAACAAAAAGCCCTTCAAATAGTCAAATTGTTACCCTTCAGTTGGTTTTCATCCCGACTGCTGCCAAGTGGCTTTTTCTAAGTATCACCTACAAGTATCCGGTGGTTCCTAGAGGAAATCATGTCCTGAGGAATTTGGATTTGGTCAGTTCTGGTCTCCATGACTTAAGAAGGGTTAAACAAGAGGGCCTAGCCCTGTTTGTCACAGGGATCTTCCCCAGACAGGCTGATTCTGACATACCCGGTGCAGTTGAGAGGCCAGCTCCCTGTGAAAATGATGTCAGCTCTATTTGATATAAAACCAGTGCTCTAATACTTATCTGTCTTGATTCTCCCCCAGGTCTGGACTACACTGTCCCAGGATTTCCCAATGGATTTCACAGCTTCCCTGGAGAAACCCTATCGTACTCCGCAGCCCGCCACCCCTCCATGGGCAGCCTGAGGCATTCCTCTGTGGGTGAAGACTCTACTCATGCCCTTATTGGGCCTGATGAGCAGGTAAACACAACTGTCCTAAATTCTGCTGTTTGCCAGCAGTGAACAAGCAGCTGGTTTTGCTGGCAGTCCTGTGCAATTCTGGGTTTCTTTTCCAGCAGAGCTCAGGGCATCCTCATACCCTGTCATCCTTTTCTTCCTCTTTTGCTTCATCTTTCTTTTGCTTCCTCTTTTCGCTTGGAGACTTCTGCTCTCTGACACTTGGCTGGAACAGGCGTTTTATCGAGGCGATGGAGTTGGCTTCATTAATCCACTGGTGTCTGTGTGGTGATTATTTAACAGCAGCACACGGCTTGTGTGAATTGCTGCCCTGTCTGTCTGCTACCACTGCAATCCTAAAACTGACATGCGGATACATACCCAAGTTCAGACTCTTTTTGTTTTTTGGCAGCTCTTTGCTCCCAGTTTTAAAATTCAAGATTTTGCCCTACAAAATCCAGCATCTCTCAACCATTATCAGAGAAGCCTAGTTAGGTGTGAGCGCTGCAACACTGCCAGTGTAAGCCACTCGAGGAAATATTTTGCAAGTGGCTTTGCTTTTTGTTCTGTGACGCACTGGGACAGGTTGCCCAGAGAAGCTGTGGATGCCCCATCCCTGGAAGTGTCCAAGGCCAGGCTGGATGAGGCTTGGAGCAACTTGGGCTAGTGGAAGGTGTCCCTGCCCATGACAGGGAAGGTGGAATTAGATGATCTTTAAGGTCCCTTCCCATCCAAACCATTCTGTGATATACTTGGAGTGTGAAATAGATGTGTGTCTTCTGCAGTCGATTCCTTTTTGTCTCCTTCAGCCCACAAATCCAACAATGGCTTTTGGTTTTTTTGCTTCCCAAAATCTTCTCAACTTCAAAATACTTTCATCTCCTCCTGCTTCACCAAAAAACTGTCCCTTCTTATTGGTTTCTCAGCTGCTGGCAGCTGCTTTGCTCTTGTCTCTCCTCCTTTCACTGTCCCTCTGCTTCTCTCCTTGCAGTCCCACACCTACGTCAACACGGCCAACGGCGAGCAGGAGCTGAGGGGCCGACACTGTATGCACTCCTTGCCTGAAGTCCACCCTCCTTTCCCCCATAGGAACCACAGCTGCTCCCTGGAAGACCGCAATCCCCAGGTCTTTCTGCAGCCAGGGGAGGTGAAGTTCGTCTTAGGTCCCCCGTCCAACTACAGGCGCGTCTGTCGGCACCATCGGGAGTGCAGGACGCACTTCTGCCCCCCCAACAACAACAACGAGTGCGAGGAGGAGTGCCCTTCGCCCCGCTGCGTCTACGAGAACGTCAATGGCTTG